GGGAGCAGGTGGCGGGGTGGGCCGCTGCCGCACGGTCGGGCGGTGTGCTGGGGGATCCCAGCTTTTCCCCGGGAGGCTGCGGGCAACTGGAAGTCACCTGCTCAGGAGCCCGGTTCCCCGCAGGAGGGGCCCCAAAAGCAGTGCGGGCGGGTCGCTGAGGCCCCTCGTTCTCCAGGCTGCCCGCCCCGGCCCTCGGGGACAGCAAAGGGCCTGGTGGGGTGACCCCCCGCTCCCGTGCCTTTGGTTGAGGTGGTGACGGTTCCTGGTATCCCTGCGTGTTCCCAAGCTGATTGGAATTCCAAGCTAACTCCCAAAAAACTGGGAGAGGGCTTCCCCTTTCCCATTTCCCACTCGTTTGGAAAAAACCCTCTCCCTCCGGCCTACCTTGCTGGGCTCAAACGCTGCGCAACACACACGAATGCACTGGGGGAGCCAGTTTGCACCCCACAAACTGCCCGTGCCTCCCCCTTGGCGTGCTCGCCCTTCCTTCCCGGTGGGCGCTGCCAGCGAGGCAGAGCTGCTGCGTTCCTGAGGCACCAGGTACCGCCATGGCTGCCCGGCGCGGCTGCCTGGGGACTGCCCATTCGACAGCTTCCCGCCAACTGCCTGCTAACCATTTATGTGGGGCAGGACGTAAGTGGTGGTGGGGCTGCAATGGTAAAGGTTTGCCTTTAGAAAGGTGTTACGAAGCTTGCCAGTCCTTGGGAGGTGATTAATGGCTTTGCAGATGTACAATAACCTAGTTGCATTGGGACAACTGCCAGAACCTATATTTATTCTTTCTTTTTTTTTGTTGTTGGCTTTTATGCTAAGCGTCAGTCCGCTTAAATCAGAGGGATATTTGTCTTCTGTGATCCAAGGCCTGGATCAGCACTGCAGTAGTCTTATGAATGTCAGCATGCAGTGGTCTAAGAAAGTTTCTGGTCCCAGCACTTTGCAAGGAAGCTTTTCTTTTTCCCTTGGGGAAAGCAGGGCCATTTGCTGTGGTACAAAACCTCTGCTTACCCTTTGCTACCATCCCTGATGAAGCTTTTCACCGCAGTATGGGTTGTAGAGAAGGGTTGTCTAATTCTTTCCCAAGCAGCTGCAAAAGGCCCTATTAGAAACATAGAACCATAGAATTGTCTAGGTTGGAAGAGACCCTTGGGATCATCAAGTCCAGCCATCTACCCTACTATACAAAGTTTTCCTCTACACCATATACCCCAACACCACATCTAAATGACTCTTAAACACATCCAGGGATGGTGACTCAACCACCTCCCTGGGCAGCCTATTCCAATGCCGAACCACTCTTTCTGTGAAAAATTCTTAGGACAGTAATGGGAGGATGGGGAGACGCTAATTACAGAGCTTGAGGCAACTGCTTCAATCACAGAGGCATGCCATGGTTTGGACAATGCCTGTGGATTAAGAAGGCAAAGCTAGACACAGACACCTTCTAGGCAGGTTGAACAAGCTCAGGACACCCATCCTCAGGGACATGTCCCCAGGATGTCTCCCGCACATCTCTCAGAGAACTTATACATTACTACTAATGTAGGAAATTTTTGGCTGTCATGCGTTTTTTCAAACTCATCATCTCTGTGAAAAATACAGTTGTCTCTTTTGCTCTCCCATCGTCAGCCCTTGAAGCTTTTTTCCCAGCAGCAAAACAGGCCTGTCATCCTTTTTTTCATCCCAGCCACTGCTTTTTGTTATCTTTGCTGGGCCAGTACCGCTGGCTGTGGGGCATTGTGATAAGCTAGATCAGCAAACTGATTTGAGTTAAAAAATAAACTCAGAGGTTAAAACCTCAGATGCACTCCACTTGCGTAACCCTGCAACAGTTGGGCTGGGACCACAGGAGCGGACAGAGGCTGGGGACAGGCCTGCCCATGGATGAGAAAACAGTGGGTCTTCAGACACAAACCCCAAGTCTAAGTCTGAGGTTTAGGCGAGTGCTCTGCTCACTGTGGTGGTTCTTGTGCTTACTTTGAATCCCTGTGCATTTAAAATAGTTTTGTACTTCTAGTTCTCACTGCAGGGTTAACCCGAATACATGGGTTCACTGGGCATCTGTGGGATTCATCATACAGTTTACAAACAAATGGGATTTGGTGTCTGGGAAATACCAAAGCTCCTATATAAGCCAAGAAGATGTGACTTTGCTGTCCTTAAAATGAAATCACAATGAATGGTTCTGAAGTGCAAACCTTGACAACTGCAGAGGGAATGGAAACAAATCCTAATTGCGCAGCTTGGCATGCACTGGGCAGCAATTAAAATAAAGGTGGTGGCCAGCACACTTATTGTTCCTTTGGTAGCCTACTGCAATGGCCACGTGTGTTGGCTTAGGGTCTCTGGGGGGCTGTGGCAATGCAAAGAGTTTTCCCTCTGCTGTCCTCCTCAGAGAAAGCTGCAGGTCTCTGTGTCACCTCTGTCACTTTGGTCTGAAACAAACATAGTCTGTGCCAGTGCCTCGCACCAAACTTTGGTCACTGTGGGCAGAGACAGGTGGCATCCTGCTGGAGATGTGCTTCTCCTGCCTTTGCCCCTTTACAGATGTCCTGAGGTTCCTTGTCCTGGCTGAGTCCTTCCCCTTGCTCTTGAGCAGCCACTCATGGCAATAGACCGTGGAAGTCCTGGTTGTGAGGGCTTCCAGCTGCACCAGACTGCAGAAAAGTGGGCCAAGCAGACATGGCACAGCAGCAAACAAAGAAGGTAGAAGCAGTTAAAATAGGTTTAAAACCTAAGTGGAAGCAAGAGGTGTTGTTGCTTAGGCTGTTACGTTTCAGATTACGGCTACTTGTCCTAGAGCCTCATTCACTAATATCTATTAGACATCAGGGTTTAAGCAAGGGATTGTCTTTCCATGACTAATGTATAACCTGGCAACTACTGTGCAGGAAAAGAAAAACATCGTCTCTAATTATCTTGATCATGTCTTCAAGCTATTTAAGTGTAATAGTTGCAAGACCTGGTTATGAATAGCAATTAGAGATCCCCTTGCTTGCCTTTCACTGTATTTCAGTTCATCTGTCAAGATGTACATGACTCATTAGAGGTTATTTATGACTGGATGAGCTGCAGGCATTAAAAGCCATGAAGTACACTTCTGTAAAAAATTGTCACCCTAGTGCAGAACTGCACCTTCACTGAGTACCCTCAGAAGTACTTCGGCAGCCCTTTAGGCCTTCAGGAGCAGCAAGTAGTCCAGACCAGTGGGAGAAACTTTGTTCTTCCAGAGAATTGCTGTGTTGGAAACATGGGCCCTGAATACCACGAGCATCAGGAAAAAAACAAGTCGCCCATATGGTAGGGGCTAAAGGTCTGCTTTAACATAGGACTTTGTATGACATCTCTCTTTGCATGTGTGCACGCACAAGGCTGCTGTTACCTTCAGCTGCCTTCAATCCTTTCTGTAATAACCATAATGAACAACATTGTTTTTCATTTCCTATAGACATCGTTCTAATATATACTACGACTACTATTTCCATGTGCAGCACTCTAATATTGCAAGTTTTATTCCTTAGGAGCCTTTACAAATCCAAAAGTCTGTTAATTTAATTAAGGATTGCTCCTGTAGGCAGATCCCCCGGACATTGTCTTGCGGTCTGCCCTGCCAGAACATGGCAGGCTCTTGTGCTGAACTGTCCTCCGCAACAGCCTGGAAATCCAGACCATTATTTCTTGAAGCACACAGTGTTCAAAGAGCAGTTTAAGTTGCCTGAGAAAGTGATTGTAAATGAAATGTGCAAATGGCACGTAGCAGCACTAATTTCCATCCTGTATTCCAGCAATGCACCTACTCTTTACAAAAATTCTGCCCCACTCCAGTGCCAGAGGCATACGTTTGCTGGCCTGATGTTGGCATCCTGAAAATAAAGTCAATATGCTGGATGCTTGAGAGACAGGCAAAATCATTTCCATCCTTGATTTCTTTTTTTCTTGAACTGTAATCTTCCCTGCTTCTGCTCCATGACTCTACCGACAATATCCAGCTGCCTTTGGAAGCTGTGCATCCTGCACCGCTGTGCGGAAGACTGTCCGGTGGCTTTCTAGCAGGGAGGAAGAATAGTGAAAATCTGAGAAGAAATCTTTGCTCTAACTGCACTGCCAGCAGAATAATTTCAAAGGTGGGTGTAACCATGCCAAGCCTGGCTCGTATTTTTCCGTCCGAGCTCTAACTCTGGTGCAAAGCCTCCACAGCATGCTGAGGAAGGACTTGGGGAGACTGGCTGATGTCTTGAGCTGTAGCCCATGCCTGAGCTGCTAACAAGTTGTTCCAGTAGGCATGTGCTAACTGGGAGAATTGGGCAAACCAGGAACTGTGCTGGTGCTAAACACCTGGATGTCCAGTCTAACTTATCAGGGTTATATGCAGTTTGGTTTAGCTTCAGTACAGTCAGATTTCAAGATGCACATGCTTTCATTTTATACCTGGGGGGGTTCCTTCCTTGCTCAATAATGATTGAAAGCAAGAAGATAATTTCTGTGTTAACCACTAGATGGTCCTCTTTCTCAAAGAAAAAAATAGCTCCAAAATAAAGCCAGTCCTGGCTTTTCTCTCAACCTGAATATTGGTAGAGAACAGCTTCAGTGTAAAGCTACACATAATTAACAGTCTCGTCTAGTTGCTTGAGTTGACATGTTTTTTCTGCATAGATTTGAATAAAACTTTTCATCAATCCTCTGAACTCAATTAGTGCAACTGGACTTCTTATCAGTCAGCAAATACTTCCTAGTTAGTATCAGTAAAGAATTTCCAGCTCCAGACAGCACCAGTGTCAGTGTTGTCCCTCCCTCTCATTCCAGGCTAAGCAAAATCAAACCAGCAATGTTTTATTTCATTTCACACACAGAAGTCATACTTTACCCCTGTACAGAAGGCTGGGCAGATTCATGAGTCAGACATGGGTTTATGGTGTTTTCAGACTATCCACATGCTGGTATGTGAATCAAGGAGAGCGGTGGGCTGGAAAAAAAAAAGTTTACGTTTCTCCATTCAGTGCGTCAAATATCTTGCTTTGGTGGTTTTCACCTTCTGTTTGTGGAAGGCTCCTGCCAGCAGAAGTAGTACAGAAAAAACAGAAGTTTCAGATTAGTTCTTTGAGCAGACTAGATAGTAGAGTTTGGCATCAAAACACTAGTTCACTGTTGGCCTCTGGTGCTGTCTTCCCAAAGCATATTCCTCCATGGCAGGTTCCCTGGACCTCATCCTCTTGGGTCACTCCAACCTCCAGGCAGGACCTTCCCATTGCTACCATTAATTCTCCTCACCTTTTCCTGCCCAGGAACATGACCTCTCCTTAGCCTTGGGAAGTTACTTTCCTTCCCACAGCCCTTCACACCTGTGTATCATCTGCTGCCTTTCTAAGAAGTTGCATCCCACAGTGTCTTCCTGGTCAGCCATCTTGCCAAGACACTGAGACACTCCAGCTAACAGTGGGCTCAGGCCCTGCTCCTGGTTCCCATAACCTACGCAGGAATTTTACGTGCAGAACTCCTTGGTTGTATATGGGCCAGGGAAGTGATGGAGGCTTGATCCTTCGCAGGGATCATCTA